AAAATACAAGAGTATATACTATCAACGTAAAGAGAAATAGGTCGAACTTTGAGTACTCTTCGTATACTAAAATAAAGCAACGTGGCTTATCACTTTGCGACAGTGTCCATATTGAGAACACGGCATGTAAGAGTATTAAAATTAAGGTCACAGAAGAGAACTATAGTAATAAATCATTCCCTATTAAAAACTAGATTGTATATATTATATTTATTTTCGCTACTTTTTAATTTTAAAATATGTTCGTAGCTATCTTCGTAAATATCAAATTATAATGATGAACTTCCATATGCGAGGAAAAAAAAATATTATTACAACATTTGCTATACAAAAATATATTTTTTGTGCGCGAAACTACAGCACGACAGTATTAAATTTGACATTTCTGCAAATTCCTTATTCTTCTAACAACAACTTTAAATTTTTACGTGAGTATTAACAAATTTTATATTAATTTCGATATTTTTCATAACGAAAAGCGCCTTCTTCTAGTCGAATCAAATAAAAAGAAAATGTTGAAAGTCTAGTGACGACCCGTGTAAACGATCTTTAAATTTATTCGGCAGAATGCACATACGAGAAACTTTCAAAGTGACTGCCGTATGCGGATAAAAAGTTTTTCCCAAGAAAGTCTCTTTTCGTGTTTCTTCTAACCACACACACCGAGTAAAATTAGCATCGCACCTTCGATCTATCGGAGATCAATTTCGACCCTGGGGCGAGGGCGACCTTCGCGCGACATATATTGTAAACTGCCTCCTTCTCCTTTTTTCCAACAATCGCTATCCGTACGTCGTCCACGTGACACTTTCAGAGGCGTTACTACTCCATTTGGTTCGGCCGCACGATAAAATATCATAAATAAGTAAGAATGCTATTGGTCGGGAAACACGTGCGGGCCAGGCCAGTAAAGTTCCGGGTTTGCTCTCAGGTTTCCTCGTCAGACCCATTTTGGCAACAAATTACGTGCCTCGTAATGGGATTTTCGAGTTCGCCGTGTGTAAAGAAAACTACGTGCGCAACCGCGACGGCGTAGTAAAAAAATCGTTATCTTTACGCATATCCATCAGTTGCTGATATTTTTGTTTTTTTTTTTCTTTTTTTCTTCTTTTTTTTCCACGCCGCTATCGATACAAGCGAGGCTGTGGGCGGGTGGGCGCACACACGCGAATGCGCACACATGCGCGATCGGTGTCCATTGGCGATTGGTCCCCTCATATCGGCTAGGCGACCTACTGCACGTGCCCCGATTCCCCTCTCAAGGTGAATGACGAGCGAATGAGTTATCGGACTTCGAGCTCGGGCATTTCTTCGCTCTGTTAAGCGCTTTTGCCGCATTACCTGGGCGCGTGCGCGCGCGACTTCTAATCCACGACACACTTGCACTTGTGTATTATTCATCGACCGCTCGAACACAGTCGCATCGCGAGGCGAATGGAGAAATCGCGGTAAAAATCGGAAAATCGATGAAAAAGTAACGGTGGTTTTTCTTCTCGCTATTCTCCATTAATACCTATTATTATCGCGATAGTCGACTATAGTCGACTATATATCGTTTTATATCAATATCCCTCCCTTCCTCCCTCCCTTCCTCCCTCCCTTTTTACCCCTCTCTTTCTCTCTCTTTTTTGTAACTACATTTTGCAGAATGTAACGCAAATTTAACTAAAATAAATAAAGGGAATTGCTACCTCACGCTAAAACAAATTGTAAAATCAGCGCCTCAATTGCATTTTTTTTTATTCGTCTTTAAAATATTTGGAAGTGGAAGTGAAAAAAATTTTGTTTAAAAAAAATAACAAGAAATTCTTAATTAAAATTTACACACACAAATGTGGTATAATATTTTCTTTACATTTCATAAAGCAATTTTTTGTAATAAAAGTATAATAAAAGGGATGAAGAAATTGGCAGAATAAGTGAAACTTTTTTAAGAATGTAATCGAAGTTTTAGAAAGCTCTCGAGAAGCACATTGTAATTTCTACTAAAGGCATAGCATATTGAATCGGTGTGTAGATCATATTCACGATTTGTTTGTGTACGAGTTAATTGTTCTCGACGAACCAACGATGTTAAGGCTACCGATATCGATAAAGCAACGTCTCACACTGCACTGCTCCTCTGTTTGTTCCTTGGAATACACTCGCGTGATATATATATCAATATGAAATATATATATATATATCAATATGAATCTGATGAAACGAGAAATTTTTGTGTATCAGCCAAAAAATGTCGAGATAATGGCTTGTCAGTCAAAATAATAAAAATACAATTTTTAAATAAATTTTTAATGAATTTTGATTCATTAATTATTCACAGTACTTACAAAAGTATATGCATTATTTTTTGGGCCAATATCTGTTAGCCAAAGTATTTAAGAGAATTTTTTCAGTTTAATAAATTATTCTACGTTTCTTGATGTAGCATCAAGATATCATATTGACGTAATTTTATTATTAGATATTGTAAATAGCAAGTGTCTCTTTGAAAATATGAAATATTTTTTTATGGTTCTGTATAGTACTATTATTTGGCATGATTAACAAGTCCTTCTCACTAACATAGTGAGAAGGGAAGCGTGGTTTATTGTATAAATATATAAATGTAGAGACAAGGTACGCGCGGAGATGATAGCTGAACGACAGCATGACGACATCCGCCATTTCTCTCGGATAGTATGCAGATCTATTTTCGAGTGGTGGTTAAAATAGCTGAGCTTAAACTTCTGCTAGACACTGTCAGAGTTACCACGTCGAAAAGGAATTAGGTCAGACTTGAACGACAAAATAAGTGTCAGCGAAGTAGTTTCAGATAGCGCGACTAGATAACAAAAAATGAGTGAAATCGATTATTAATGGCAACCTCGATAATTCTTATCTAGAACCGAGTGAAGGTGCCTTGTCCCGAAATAACGTCTTAGGGATGATGGTCATATATTTTTAAATAAGAATATTCGAATGCCCCCTTTCTTCCCCCATTTATTATCATAATTACTTTATTATTTAATGACTGACAAATATAAATATAATGATTACTTAATGATCGATTAATCAATTTTTATCTCGTTCAAGTTGCTGTAGAAAAATGTACATCTATATATGTAGTAATTGCACAATCCTCAAAGAGAGATAATTTTTAAGTAATATGATAAAAGTACCTCGTGAACACTAATTTCAGCTCTCTTTATTCAATCCTCATTTTACTATTCATAAAATGATTACGGAAAATTATTAATATCTGAAACACGCGATGAGATTTGTCACAAAGGATGTAATAAATAAAAGTAATAATGATAATATAAATGGATTTTATCCAATAAGAGTATAATATCAACAGTATTACGCAGTGATTCCATATTAAATTTACTTGTGAATTAAGCCCATAGTCACGCGAAATCAGTGCGATATAAACGAGATTATTCATTTGCTAACTGTACCGCAAAAAATATATATGTATACCATATAATGATAGCTTTTTAAGATCAATATCGTGTTAAATCTGATATAACGTCACGTTGTGACCGAAACATGGAAATGGGGCGAAGGCGTGGAAAAATATATAATTGAGGAAAACGCTGACCCGTATTTTCGCCACGCGCCATTCATATTATTCCATTATCTATTCCTTTCCATTTTCTATATATATATATATATATATATATATATATATATATATATATTCGCGCCATTATTCAGCGACATGGCACATGTGCGGAACGCTAACTACTACGTAACGTACGCTACAAGGATTACGTCAAAAAGTGAAAGATTCTCGGAACACTTTCGATATACGGCTTCCACCTGCGTGTTTCCTTAGCGCTTCGTACACGTTAGGTATTGTTATCACAGGGGGCAGATATGCGAAACGACGAGAGTGTGTCGCGCGGCGTGAGAGATAACCCGGATTCCACCGTGTAAAATACGGACGGGAAACACCATCGACGACATTCGCGGTTCGCCGCGTACATTTACGACCTAGGTCCAGCTACGGCATTATCGCGCCGTTAAAAACGACGATGTCACGTCGTGTGGCCTACCGATCTAAACGGTCGTGTTGTATCGCGGCTAAAATTAAATGCACCAAGTCTCTCTCTCTCTCTCTCTCCCTCCCCCCCTCCTCTCCTTGTTCTCTCGGGAAGTAGTTGCATAACTCGAGGTGGCACGAGTAACGCGTGCGGCGCGATGCCGTGGCGCGCCGAAAGAACGCGAAACTGCGGAAGTCGGAGTGTAGAGCGCGCCTTCCACAACGGCCTACGAAACCGCATGATTGCCAGCGCAGTTTTACAAGCGAGTACCCCTGGCTATACTACCTGCTTCCACTGCGATCGATAACGCGATGCGAACTCGGCTGTGAAAAAAAAGTCGAGGCAACGAGTCCGTGCCATCGGTGCCCGCGAGTCGAGTAAAACAACAAACGACGATCGCCCCCCAAGTCCCATCCTTTTACCCGTGATCTGTGCAACCAATCGACGCGAATGGCGTATAGAGAAGAGAATGCACTCTAACTGGCCGATGAGTGTGTGACCGGCAGGTCGCTAATAACGTGATATTTTTGTACGGAAACGAATTGCTAATTTGACCGATAATAATAATAACATCGACGATGTTGATTTCAACTTATCTATTAAGCAAACAAGAGATGATTGGTTTTACTTACGATCGCACAAGGGCAAGGGAAAATCGGTTAGTTAAAAATCCCCCCGGAAAAACCTGACATTCCACCAGATGAGGCTATTCGTCTTCACAAAAGCGCTTCGGCACGAAGTGATTCATTCTCGAGACAAATAAATCGAAGCATTCGATATAGAAATACCGCAATTTGGAATTTGAGAAGATCAATTCTATAGTTGCAAATAATCAGATATCCCGCGAATTAGATTAAATCTCGATTCTTGCGATAATTTTCTAAAAGTTTGTAGAAAAGTGAATTAGAGTTACTTCCATGTGAGTGCACCTTCCTAAAACTTCACGCAGAGTTCCAAAACTGTAAGACTCACCTGCTGGAACGGCGGCAGTTGCAGCAGGTCTCTTTCCTCGGCGGCGGTTACCTCGAAGGTCGGTGCTGGTTGGGGCGGGTATATGTTGCCCTTGCCGGGATACGAGGTGCTCCGACGAAACTTGACCGGGCTGATGCAGGAGGGATGCGCCGCCGCCGGGCCCGGGTGGCCCGGGAAAGTCGGACTTGGCTTGCGACCCTGCAAACCAGCCGCGGCCGCAACCGCTGCAGCGGCATGCAAGGACGAGTGCAACGGTGGTAAATTAGGCACGGACCTGCCGCGATTCCAGGGGGACAGACCCGGACTGGCGACCGCGGCGGCAGCGGCAGCTTGTGGGCCCGCACCCCACTGTTGCGGGGCCTGCGGTCCGCCCGACCACGCGGCGTATCCTTTGCCGGGCAGGTAGACGTTCGGATGCGATGTCGGCGGAGGTTGTTGTTGCTGCTGTTGATGCTGCTGCTGCTGCTGCTGCTGTTGTTGCTGCTGCTGCTGCTGTTGCTGCTGCTGTTGCGCGGATGATACCTGTAGACCGCCGTGCCTAGTGCCGGTGGGTGTACCGGCGTTACCGTGCTGCTGTTGTTGCTGCTGCGAAAAATTGTGACTAGCCGTGATAGCACGTCGCGTACCGGTTGAAACCGCGGCGGCAGCTCCGGTGCTGGCGAATAGGGCCGCGGATCCAGTGGCTGGAAAATTCTGAAAGGCGCCAATAGAGCCATTAACCGGTAACGCGGTGTGCAAACCGCCGTCGTCCGGTGCGGACCAAAGGCTAGGCACGCGGCCACCGGGATCAGCGAAGCCCTGCAAAGCCGAGGTCGTGCTGCACGTGATGTCCTTTTCCGTCGACGAGGGCGTCGTCGGTGTGATGGCGATGCTCTCCGTTTCGATCACGTCCTTCGATTTGTCCTGTCCAGTCACGGTGTCCAAGGCACCGCTCGGCGAGAGCGGAGCGGGCTTACCGGCGGCTTGCTTCTCAATCAGTAGATCGTCCTGCATCGTGGATGTTGTTATGGTGACGGCGGTGCTAGCGTTGCTGTTGTTGTTACTCGTGTTCGTGTTAGATTTCGGACTGGTCAGAGTACTCGAGAAGAGACTCGACGAGCTGTAGTCCCCCATAAATCACCGCGGAGCTTGCAGTCGCCAAGCGTTCTCGCGACGTTGAGCACCGTTATGATAACCAGTACCTCCAGCTAGGCCCCTTCGGAAACTTCCTCTTCTCCACTCGTCTCCCTCGTTACTCGCAGCTCGGGAATATCGTTGTCGTCGAACGCGAAAGAACCGCGCGAAAGGTCCTCCACGTAGTGTAACTCGCCGTAGTACCCGTCCGGCACGAGCTCGCGGGACAAACTATCGATCCACGGCCGTACGCGTAAAAACACTCACACAGAGGGATTCCGGAAACCGAAGGTCCACACCGTGCGATGATCCCCTTCGTCGTGTGTCTTCTTTTCGCTCTTTGCAATATCTTCTTTTTGCTATTTTCTTCCTCTCTCTCTCTCTCTCTCTCTTTCTACCTCTCTTTCTCTTTCTTCCTTGTCTAATTTCCCACCTTCTATTTTCACGCCTCGGTCTATTTTTCCTCAGGGGCCATGCGTGTATAATTTCGTTCTCGTGTCTCCTTCGTCTTCCGATCGCTCACTCGCTCTCCTTAAAAAGCGTTCCTCTAGATCCCACTGATGCCACGTCGCCCCGGTACGATTCGGCAGCGACCCTGTCTTCGTGTCATCCTCTTGGCTGTCGAGGAATCAAACTCACTCGGCGACGCACATTGCCATCGTCGTCGTCGCGGCGCTCCGTCGATGCGAAGCGCTGCTCGTTGCGAAGCTGCTCCTGGTTGCCTCCCCCGCGTTCGATCGTCCGCTGGCTCGCCCGTTCTCGTTCGTCGTGTGCGCGTCTCGTTCACGGGCTACCCCCTGGCGAACATAATTTCGATCCACTCGGCGAGGACGCACACCGCTGGACCACTTGGAATCCTCCCAAATACGTAGCGTAGAGAGCGCGACCTTTTGCTTTCCACTATCACACACACGCGACTACGATACGAGGTCGCTCCGCGGATCGTATCGCGGTGGCAGAGGCGGAGGGCGGTGGAGGAGGACGTGAGAAGGGCGGGAGGGAAGAGCGTATACGCGATACGTTTCACCACCCCGCAGCTCGATGAAGCGGAACGATCCGTCCACGTCCTTCGCGTGGCGATCGCGCGAACGACTTCGCGACTCTGGCTGTCACACTAAACTCGCTGGTTTCCCCCAACGACGAGCGTGGGAGGGCGGCTGATGCGAGAACGGCGATAGGCAGGATTCCCCGCGGATACCGATAGTCGCGAGACCGATAGTCCGTGTGCTACTTCTCCGACGACGTGTCGCTGTCGCTGATCGCCGATTGTTCCGCGTCGCGGCGCGTCGCGGCGTATCGGCTGTCGCGCGCGCGCGATCAATCGATCGCCGATAAGCTCCGTTTTACGTACGTGAGGTACGCTCACGCGGCGCGGACGGACGTGGACGTGGGGCTCGCCGATGTGGTTTATCGCACGCGCGCGCACACACGCACCGTGGAGCTTTACGGGGACACTGGTCGCGAGCGCGAGCCCGTTGCCCAAGAGGAGCGTAGCACGCGGGGGGGGGGGGGTCAGGTCAGGGTTACTACCACCGCACCGCGCTCGCCGACTGCGATGTGTCTCTCCACCCGGACACTGACAATCGGAGCGGAACGGAACGGAGCGAATTCGCACACTACGGTAATCGCGCGCGGCGCGGCGACTCAATGGGCCTCTCTTCCACACCTCCGTTGACGATCCCCGCCTACACGCGGTATCGTGCACCACCTCTGACCGCACACGTACGTCGGTCTCTCCCACCTCCTCTACGAGGTACGACGGTTTAGCGCTGCCTCCTCCCGATCGGTTTGCATATTTTTCCCTATTTTCCTTCGGCGGCACTTGTGTGTCTCACCGTCGTTTAGTCTCTGCGTCTCCTCCGTCGCGCGTACGCCCTCGCGCCTTTGTCGACCGCGCTCGAGCTCGAACGGAACGAAAGAGCAAGAACGGAGGGCTGGTGGAGGTGCAAGGAGGAGGGAGGGAAGAGGGAAGAGAAGGAGGAGGAGGAGGCCCGGAAAACTTCAGCCAGCAGAGCGCGTTTCGGTAACGCGACTTCGTGGTCTCTTCTCCGCTGCCTCTGCTGCCGCTGCTGCTGCTGCTGCTGCTGCTGCTGCTGTTGCTGTTGCTGTTGCTGTTGCTGCCGCCGCTGCTGCTGCTGCTGCGTCGTCGTCGTTGTGTATGTCTCTCGCGCGCGCGCGCGCCGCAGCGGTGCGATTCGTGCGTCGTGCCGACTTTTGGAGCACTGCGGCCGCACCGCGGGTCGGGGCATGCCACAGCCCGTTCGGATATAAGTATCGTCGTGCGTGCAGCGCGTGAAGCCGTGCGCACTCGCGGCGATCCTCGTCCGGCAGCCGGTCGTGCCGTCTCGCCGTACTCCGACGTAGGTCGTCCTCCTCCTCGTGGTCGTGGTCGTCGTCGTCGTCGTCGACGTCGTTGTCGTCGTCGTCGTCGTCGTCGCTCACGCAGGCGCCCTGACGTCGACGTCGCCACCGCCATCGTGGCCGCACCGGAACCACCACCGCGACGCCTGTCTCCCTCCACGACCGCGTCCATGCCACTGCCACCCTCTTTCCAACCCTCTAGCTATATAGGGTGTCTTGAAATCATTGGACATTTTTGTTTCAGCTGGATTTCTACGATAAAAAAATTTCGACCAATATAATTTAATATTTAAAGTCAGTAAACTTTGACGAAGTAATCTCACGGAGATTGTACGAAAGAAGGATGTAATTATATTTCAGACAATAGATCAGATAGAAAGCGAAGAAGAATAGGATAAATAATGTTTTCGAATGAAGCTTTGTTTTGATTAATAAATAATTAAGCAGCAATTGATATAATATACCGAACGAGAATGATATAAAAGATATACAAAATGCTAAAGAAATTATGCAGATGTTTAATCAAATTAATTTTGAAAAGATAAAAAGTTCAAGTTTTTTTCTCTTTAAAACGGAGAATGGGTAATCAAAATGTTAATAAACAGAAATTAGTATAATAATAAATAAATAATAGAAATTTCGTTTTCTAATTAATTTTCAAGCTGTTTTTCGATAGCAGATATCGAAATAAAGATTTGATCGAGACATTCGATTAGAGAGATTAAAAGCAGGCAATAAAAATAATCTCTTACAAAGTTCCCGGTAAGGGAAAAATTATATCTCAACATTCTTTGCGTGTAATGGAGAAAGATCAATAAGACTAGATTTTTTTTTAAATAGAATTCCCATAATTCCTTGGAGTTTTTGTTACCGTGAAGTTTTAGCTATACCTTCTTGTATCTTACCCTGGAATTAGGGCATTTCTAGTTGCGTGATTCAACGGAAGTATATATTTTCGACAGAGAACTTTCGAAAAGGAGTAACCAGGAAGCAAACGGTCGCCTTGTATACCTACGGGGACTCGAACCTTTCCCAACAACGATCGACGCAAGCGTCGCGAGACGGCGGCTTGATAAGCGGTAGCGCTCGATAAGAGTCGAGGGAGCCGGTTTCGGTTTGCGTACCGACGAAAGAGAGACAGAGAGAAGCATAAAGAGAGAGAGAGAGAGAGAGAGAGAGAGAGAGAGGAGGAGGAGGAGAGAGAGGAGGAGGAGAGAGAGAGAGAGAGAGAGAGAGAGAGAGAGAGAGAGAGAGAGAGAGAGAGAGAGAGAGAG